CTTCAGCTGAGAAGCCAGTCTTAAAGCAAATAACTCAACCACAAGTTCAAGAAGATGCAAGAACGTAGGCATGAACATAGGGTCTGAATGGAGTAGTTGGCCCTGTGAGTTTGGGGATGAGGGAGCATTAAACCAGGCAAGGACAAGGAAGGCAAAGTAAGAGCTCATATTTACTGAGTCCTCACCAAGCAAGAGGCTCAAGAATAGTGCCCAGGTCCCAAAGAGCAGAACATATTGCTTAGGTATGAGACATGGCTTAGGGCTCATGTTTGCCCTGATGGCCACCTAGGTGGGCTGGATATCTCTGGCACTGCCTCATTTGTGGTCTGGTCTCTGAGGGGTGAACATCTTTGCTGGAGAGAAGATGAAAACTCTTATCTGCTTTTCCTCTACCCTTGGTCCCCAGTATAGTCCAGAGCTCCCAGTTCAACCAGCCAAGGTTGCCCCCCGGCCTCTTCCTTTCCTCAGCTCCTTTACCATTAGAGATTCAGCCTTTACTCCTTGCCTCCCTTAGCCCTGCCCTTCCTTTTGGTTCCTTCAGCTCCTCCAGCGGAGTCCTGAATGCCTTTGAAGGCTGAAGCCACATTCCACTACCCAGGGCTCCCTCCCCTGTCCTTTGCCCCAGCTTCCCCATCAGTCTCAGAACTGCCATCGCCAATTTCCTTCACTTCTCACTCCTATCCCAGCCCAGACTTTTCCTCTCAGAGGGAGCCCCTTCTTGAAAGATACRCCAGGTCCATCAGGCACCTCACTCATCCTGGTTACCTTCCTGCCTGCCATTGTCCCCAGGGGCCTGGATGCCCAACTCGTGATCCTTCTGTTGCCCTCAAGTATGGGGAGCTGTGCCTCTTCCTACTATTCCTGTGTGTGTTTTTAATATGTGTGTGTGTATATGTATATGTATATGTATATTTATTTAGTTGTAGTTGGACACAACACAATATCTTTAATTAATTAATTTATTTTTATGTGGTGCTGAGGATGGAACCCAGCACCTTACACGTGCTAGGAGAGTGCACTATCACTGAGTCACAACACCAGCCCCTATTCCTGTGTTTTTAAAATTTATTCTTATTTTGTTTCTTTGAAAAATTATTAATATAGAAAAAAAATGACTGATTTAGAAAATAACGAATAAATGAAAGTGCATGTAGTAAGAGGGAGCTTGCATCAGTCGTTTCAGTGGCTCTCCAGTGGTGGACATTCAGGAAGCCCTGTGGCTTCTCATTCAACCCACAGCAGCCCCGTGCTGTTCGGGTATATACTGTCATTATCCTTGTTGTGGGTGGTGGCCCTTTCTAGGTCTATCATGCACCTGGTTTTGTGATGCAGTTACAATGTCATGTGCCATAGTTTAGGAAACTGGCTTTAACAGAGTAGGACTGCAAAAAGAGAAGGCAACCGTCCCTTCCATTCCCCTAACTCAGTTTGGGTGCAACCTCCCCCTTCCCCCTGAGAAGGCCAAGTTGAAGAGGGCCCCCTCAAGCTGGCTTGTCATCTAGCCAACCCACAGTAAGATCCAGGTGGTCTTTGGAAACTGTGCTTACTGAACCAGGATCCCCACTTCATGGATGCAGCAGCAGGCTAGAAAGATTAAGTGCCTGACCCAAGACCCACACCCATTCCAGGGCCAAAATTCAAAGCCAGTTCTGTTTTGCACTTTAAGGAAAGAAGATTTTATGAGGCAGTAGGAGAGGGAAGCCTTTGCTCTCTGTTTTCTGGACCTCACGTTCAGGATGGTAAGGGGGTGTTCTGTGGGGAGCCGGCCAACTCCACAGCATTTTGACCCTTTTCCCCTTCAGTGCACTGGCTGCCTCCTTCCCTGGGCTGTTTCATCTTGTTGGAAGCTGTAAGAGCCACTGCCAACCATGTCCTTTGCTGATCATAAAGATAACTTGGCAGGAACCCGATCATTCTTAACCCCCATGCTAGGAAATTATTCCTGAATTAAAAATGACTTCTACATTTTACAGTTTAAAATGCTCTATAATCCCTGGCAATGATTCTATAACAGAGAGGTTGCTATAGAAAAATTTGAGATCTCTTATATAAAGGTAAAGAGGAAAATAGGAGCTGTTTCCTTTAATTCTTACTATACAATTTTTAAGAAACRTCTTAATATTCCATTCAACTCTTTCTTCCCTTTTTCCTCTTTCTCTCTGGCTGGTTCTAAAAAATCAGTGCAGCACTATAAATATGCAGAATGTGGAAAGCTGATTTTTCCTATATCTAATAAAAACCTTGGGGAGTAATTGAAATAACTTGGCGTGGGTAGTCAGGTTACATGCTGCATAATATCAAAAGAAAACCCAGAGCAAGGAAAAACAACAGAAAATAGGAAGAGGGGCTGGAGAATGATGAAACCAGGGCATCAAATAATGAGTAACTACGAGAATCTAAAATAAATAAATAAATAAATAAATAAAAAGAATCCTTTTAGAATTACATTCTTAGAAAAAAAGTCAAGAAGCATCTTCAAAGAAGTAATACTAGACAAGGTGCACATTTTTATACATTTCTTAAGGTTTCAAATTCAAAGAAAAGGAAAGAAATATCCCTTCCTCCCCTGTATCTATTCATTAGATGAAGTCTGGCAGAACACACAGGTATCCATCACATTTTTGACATGTTTTCACCATGAGATCCTCCTCCCATTTCCATTTTCTCTCCCTGTATTATCCAATAGAATTTTAAAGGAATGTTGTCAGTATGACAGGTCACTCAAGGAGAACCCTCCATTATCAATTGTCCAGGGAACCTTTTGGAGTACCTTACTCTGGTCTTTATGATTTTATAAAAGGCTACTGTATTCATTATGGGTAGGAAAGTGATGTTGACATGTCTGGGTCTCAGGAAAGAGAAATGTGGGTATGGGAGCCGCGTGGAGAGAGAACACCCTCCAGTTTGCATTTCTCACAGAATCTTCTGTCTCAGTATTCTACACTACCCAGCTTGTTACCCTGCGAAAGTCCATTACTATTTCCAGACTCAATTTATTTCCAGGAGTTTAAACAGGTTATTGCTACAAATAAATGAAACCTTTTGGAAACAGAAAAGTCGGGAGGAGGTAGTAATCACCTATATTTATCAAACATAACGGATGATACTGGTGTATTTTCTATCAATCTTTCTTCTTAGATACAGCTGTTTTTTTTTAAATTTTTTTTTTAAAGAGAGAGGAGAGAGAGAGAGAGAGAGAGAGAGAGAGAGAGAGAGAGAGAGAATTTTTTAAATATTTATTTTCTAGTTCTCGGCGGACACAACATCTTTGTTGGTATGTGGTGCTGAGGATCGAACCCGGGCCGCACGCATGCCAGGCGAGCGCGCTACCGCTTGAGCCACATCCCCAGCCCCTACAGCTGTTTTTTTTAATGTGGCAGAAATTGAAGTATGATATCCAGTTTTATATTTTGGCAAAGTTTTATTCTTCCAAAYAAAAAATAGACTGTTAGCCATCATTTCTAGAGTTGCATAATATTCCACACAGATGAGCTTTTGCTCCTTTTGTTTTTTAGTCTGCATTGAAAGACAGTGTTTGACAGCATTGGGGCTTTTGAATTTCTTACTAAAGGAAAAGAGAATGTACTGCCGGGGCTCATACCTGTAATGATTCACAGCTAGGATCGATGGTAACTGCCCAGAAATTATCGGCTAGAGAGGTTAAGGTCGACTTCTTTTTAAAGATCATCTCAGGTCATAGACTAGTGGTTGATTATCTTTGTTGGTGTCTGAGTCAAGTCAGACAACCAGGGTAGATGATCCAGTCCTGTAACTTACTATCTCTGTGACCTGGCACAAGATTCTCTGCCTATCTGTGTCTCCATTTTCTCAGAGGCAACAGTGTGAATAGCCTTATAATTCCTCCATTCTTAGAAATAAATTTTAACACACTCAATCATTGGGTTGAGTTCTGCAATCAATGTGAACATTGCAATTTTTCCTTCCCCTTTCCCTGGCTTAACACCCCCCAGTGCTCTAACAATCAGTGGTGTCTTAGCACTGAGGAAATATAATACTACTTGTCTGACAGTGTTTACAATGGAAAGGATTAACTGAATTATACATAAAATGTTCTCAGCACTTGGTAGGGGCTCAGTAAATGGCAGCTACTATTTATTAGTTTTTTWAAAAAATCTGTTATTCTTAGAATGGTAGAACACTTATTTGGAGGAGAATATTTATTTTAGGAAATACATTAGTTGTAGGTAGCGTATTTAGTTAAAACTCATGTGGCTTGGAAAATTCCTCTACATCTTAAGTTAATTAGAGATGGCACAGGGATGGCAAATAGGTTTAACTTCATGTGCCAAGTCTAATCTGTTGATGATGATTGTCAGACATGCTGCGTTGTGAGACCTGCTTAGGCAGACTCTGGGTGTAGCAGATCCAAGTGCCAAGGTTGATTAGAGTATGTTCCCCAGGCTCAGCAAGATGGAGTAGCACTGCACACACTGTTTGCCATCTCTGTGTTCTGGTGTCACAAAACATTACATGGCAATTCATTAGCATTAGCTAGGCTCTAGTTTGTCAAACAGGAGTTTCATCAAGTTCCTGTAGCAATAGACCCATCTCTAGGTCCAAGATGAGAGGTGGAAACCTACATGGCTAAAACTTAAAATTCCAACCTTGGCAGAGACCTGGGAGACATGCACCATTTTGAAAGTAGAGCTTTTGCAATGACCCTGACTTTGCTCAGCCTTTGTCTTGCTAATGCTTATTTAGGTCTTGCCAGCTGAGCTTGGAATATCCTACATCTTGGCCTTTGTAGAACTTTGCTGTTAAATTGACTGAACTATCTCTTTGACTGCATCTTGTGCTTGTCCTCCTTTGCTGTAGATAGATGGCTGTTAGCCCAGGGAACTTTGCTCAGAAAGGGCGATAGAGTTGGAAGGGAGACTGTTCATTTTATCCTTATCTAATTCTCAGGTTTTGTGGCACCTACAAAGTAAAAACCAATGATTACAGCACTTTGTTGAAGGCTTATGTGGAAAGCTACATACCATTTCTTGAAATATTCTGGTAGTCCCTGTGGTTACAGTGGTTTCTTCTCCGTAAACGAAGGTAAATAGATTTTTCTTCAGTTCTGAAACAAATATATGTATTTATGTATTTACTGTCAGGACATTTAATGGTGAAGTTCAAAGAAACTTATTATTATTGTTTTTTGGTACCCGGGATTGAACTCAGGGGCACTCAACCACTGAGCCACATCCCCAGCCCTATTTTGTATTTTATGAGAGACGGGGTTTCACTGAGTTCCTTAGAGCCTCGCCATTGCTGAGGCTGGCTTTGAACGCGTGATCTTCCTGTCTCCACCTCTGGAGCTGCTGGGATTACAGGCATGTGTCACTGTGCCCAGCAAATAAACTTATTTTTGACATGATTTTTTAAAATATGGTGAACATGAACTCAGAAGATCAAAATTTCACTGACTTTTTTTTCCTAAACTGTGAATATCTTATTGGGAGTTATAAGAAGCAATTCAATGAAATGAGTGCCATTGATATGGTAAGAGTACTGCTAGAGACATCAAACTTATTTTGTATGAACATTTGGAATAATCCCTTTCTAATCTTTTTACCAACAAGTGCAGTATTTTTTTTGAGGAATTATTCATCTTTATAAATTCTTTTGTTTTGAACCTGACCATATTTTCTTTCTTCCTCTGGTTACTCTGAAATTCTGGCAGACTCCTGTGTCCAGATCCATTCTCCCCTTGGTTCATTGCAATAGAGGTTTGAGCAGTACCCATGTCGGCTCAGAGTGAAGATGCATTCCCCAGTTTCCCTTGCAGCTAGGAGCAGCCATGTCACAAAATTCCGAATGATGCAATGGAATTAGAAATATCCAGTGGCAGTTTCTGGAACATTTCTTAGAACACAATTAGAAGGTAACTCTTGCTATTTCTTTGACCTCTTTTTTCCATCCTGGAATAAGAATGCTGCAATCTTGGACTATGGGGAAAAGGACCACACTGGGAAAGCCGTGGTCCATGGGAAGGAGCCTGGATCCCTGGGGAGTGGGTGGAGTTAAGCTCCTATACTAGTTCTAGACTGCATATCTCTGTATTTTTCTGTGTAAGAAAAATAAATTCATGTACTATTTTATTTATACCACCCATCTGTTGAATCTGTTTTACTTATAGTTGAATCTAATATTAATGAGCACAGAGCTAGAGCCAAATTTGTCGAGAGTATCAGGCTATAATTATACATATTTTAAGCAATTTTCTTGGCTTTCCTTTGCCTCATCTTTAATTTTCTAATTTCTTTTGCCAAGCTTTTAATTTAAATGTAATTTAATGTTATGTTGTCTATACTTTTATAGATTTCCTAAAATTCTTTTTGAAACAAGATCAAGTATAAACTAATGAATAATAATTCAACTTATAAATATTCCATTACTCTTCAAATATATMTTTTCTTCATTCTGATAAGCTCATATCTCACAACCTTATGTAAAATTACCCTCTATTTTACGTATTATGAAAATCTTAATAATTGTATTACAATGCTTGGCAACTGTCTCAAATACTTCAGAAAGGTAAGAATGTACTATGTTTGGGCATTTGGAATATATTGGTAGTAGAATTCTTCTTGAAGTCTGAGAAAACTAATGATAACACTTCTTAGTAGAAGACTAAGATGTCTGAGCAATATTTTAAGTACAAGATTTTTGCTTTGTGATAGAATTTTGAAGTGAATGATACATTTTAAAATTATCATTATCATTATTATCATCCAAGCCACCCATGCACAGAGCTTTAAAAATAAAGCTTAGGAGAATGTTTGTTGAGCATATTGTATGGTCCAGGCACCGTTTATTGTAGGCAATTGGGTTATATTGGCAAGTGAAAAAGACAAAAGTTTCCTGCCTCTGTGTTGTTGACATTCCAGTAGCAAAAGACACATCAAAAGCACTAAATATTAGAAATAGCTAAACTATATTCTAGAAAAAAAGTAAAAAAAAAATAAAAAGTAATAAATTCTATTTTAAAAAAGGGGGAAAGGAGATTAGGATTAGAGTGGCCACAGGAAGTCTCATTGAAAGGTGAATTAAGATAAAGATGAGCCTCATAAAGCCAAACCATTTGAATGGTTAAGACTTGCAATAATAAACAGCAATCTCATACTTTTACCTCTTTCCCAGTTCCCATGGGCAACCAATTTTAACCTTAATTGGCTGAGTCTTTTGATATTGTGGGGGTGGGGGGGATTTTTCTTTTTATCTTTAAGTAACATACTTTAAAAACTAAATTTTTGGTCGTTTTAAATTCTCTTTGCATGACTTTTTTGGTATTTATCATTAATTCATCCTCAAATCTTTTACAGTTGTTTGTAGTGCATATTCGTCTCCTTTTGATATGCTCTGTATGTCAGATTGTTTATTAATTTTGTCATCTTGTGGAAATGTCTCCTAGAGCCTGTCAGTTTGCTTTAGTCTGGGCTTGTTGTCTTCACCCTGGTGCACAGTGGGTAGCCTGAGAGCTCCCTTCTCTATCCTACTGGGTTGTTAGACATCTGATTTCCTGGAAGGCTATACTTTTCTTATTTTGGATGGAGAACACTTTTATATAACTCTGAGAGGTGGATGGAAAGTAGTTTCACTTTTTTTTTAGCACTTGTATATCTGGAAATGCTTTTATTCTTTGACTTGCTTGCTGGTGAGGTGTAAGGTGGAATCTGGAAACAYAGCTTACACTGTAATATAAATGTTGGTAGGATTAGTGGGATTTGGTGAGAAAAAACTTGAAGTGAAGAAGTATCAGAGTTTACCTCTTCCCTGAACTCTCATACTATCCAAAGGTGTCTTAGGACACAGATGAACTCCACACCTCTGGGACAAGAACCTCACTCTTTGGCACTCTACATATTCAGGAAAAAAGAGTTGAAGTATTTCTAAGTCACTCTGATGATGAAAATGATGACAATGGTGATAATAACAACCACCACCACAACAATAATAAATTTCCTATATAGGCCATTGCTTTGTGAAAATGGGGGTGCCTCATACATGATGGATCAGCTTTTCTTTTAATATTTATTTTTTAGGTGTAGATGGACACAACACAATGCTTTTATTTTTAGGTGGTGCTGAGGATCAATTCCAGCCCCATGATGGATCAGCTTCTTGCCAAACTACCCCAAAGGTGAAGGAAATTAGCCTCCAGGACCATTAGAGTTTGGAATTTGGCCATCTGACTTTATGTGGCAGCATGAAGATGGTCACATTAGCCTCAACACCTCTACCTTTGAATGTGGGCTGGGTTGACTTCTTCAACTAATAGAGTATGATAGAGTRGCATTCTGCCAATTCTGGCTTTTAAAATTCCTGGCAACTTTTGCCTTGTGGAGCTCTGAATTGCCATATAAAAAGTGTGACTGCCCTGCTGGAGGGGCTATAAGAAGATCCCACCTTGGAAGCAACCAAGATGTCCTTTGATAGGTGAACAGATAACAAACTATAGTGTATCCATACAGTGGGATACTCAGTGATCGAAAGAAATGAGTTGTCAAGCAATGAAAAGATGCAGAAGAACTTTAAATGCATATTTTAATTGAAAAAAAGTCAACCTGAAAATAYTGCATATTTTGTGATTCCAACTATAGATGCTCTTTGATGTACAATGAAAATATGACCCAGCAAACCCATTTAAAGTTGAAAATATCATAAGTCAAAAAATGCATTTAATATACTGAACCTACCAAGTATCACAGCTTAGCCACACCGCACATGATAGAGTATTGGTTGTTTTTTCTTGTGACTCTGTGGCTCATTGGGAGCCACAGCTCATTACTGCTGCTCACCTTCACAAAAGAGCATCAAATCACATATTTGATTGCTGGTGAGGTGTAAGGTGGAATCTGGAAACATAGCTTACACTGTAATATAAATGGGAAAAGATCAAAATTCAAAGTGCATTGTTCTTTTAAATGCATATCACTTTGGTACCATTATAAAGTTGAGGAAATTCACAAGATGAACCATAGTAGGTCAGGGACTGTCTATTTATGGCATTCTGGAAAAGGCAAAACTATGGAGAAGGTAAAAAGATTAGTGGTTACCAGGAATTTGGGTGGGAGGAGGAAAGATCAATAGGTGGAGCACACTGGATTTTTTAAGGAAATGCTGATCTGAATCAGTATTGGCTCTTCATTTCTAACAAACGTACCCCATTAATACAAGATGTTAATAATAGGGGAATTTAAGGAGGAGATGCAGAGGTATGTGGAAACTCTTTGTACTTTCTGCTCAATTTTTCTATAAGCCTAAAAATGCTTAAAAAGTAAGGTCTTAACCTTTTAGTTGCCCCTTCCCAGCACCAGTCATGTGAGGGAAGCCATCTTGGATCCCCCAGCTCATCCTGGCCATTAGGTGAATCCCATGGTCAATGTCATATGGACAGGAAGCATTGGTTAGCTGAGTTCTGCCTGAATTACTGACCCTCAAAATTATGGGATATAATGAAAATGATTATTGTTTTGAACAACTAAAATTTGTAATACTTTGTGTGTGACACAATAGATATCCAGAACAGTTTTGCTGTAGAATTTGGTTAAGACAATTTTCCCAGAGAACTCCCAGAAGGAATTTATCTGTTAGTTTCTAGCTCCCCAGTGGTTAGTCTGAAGCCATTCTGTGTCTCAAAGTTTTACAAGCCTGTAGTAGCATTTTGTTCCAAGTGTTCTTGTTATGATTTAGATATAAAGTGTCCCTCAAAAGCTCATGTATTAGACCATGCAATAAAGTTTAGAGGTGGATTCATGTAACATTATTAAAAGAAAAATGTTTGGCAATGGAATAAGCAAAACATTCAACTTGTTTCTGGAACAAGAACAAAAAGTTTAGAGGTGGAACAATTGGGTTAGAAGGGCCTTAACCTAATCAGCACACGAATCCACTTGAATGGATTAATGGGGTGATAACTGTAGGCCTGTAGGATATGGCTGGGAGAGGTGAGTCACTGGAGGGTGACCTTTCTGGTATATATTTTGTCCCCGATGAGTTGAGCTTAGTCTCTCTCTGCTTGCTGGTGGCCGGGTCCTGAGCTGCTTTCTTCCATCATGCRCCTTCTGCCTTGAT